GATATTAAAAATTAGTTTAACAAATTTTATCTATGTTTAAAGGCTATGTTAAACATAGATACACAAGTGGGCGACCTTTGTGCTAAAATACAAACTAAGGTAAACAACGTTAAAGAGCACAAAAAATATTTAATGCAGACAGCTATTTCGGATGCTCAAAGGGCAACTTTCATCAGTGCAACAGAAAGAAATGAGAGAAAACAGGGTAAATACAGAGAAAGGTGACGTCACAAGGGGAGGTTAGAGCAACGGCCAATAGGAGGGAAGGGTGAATGGATGACGACGAATAGGAAGCAAAGAACAAAAAAGGGGACTTAGTTAATAAATATTACCTATGTATAACTACAAAATCATAGATTCATAAAAAAAAAAGTAACGCAGCCGGCAGGATTCGAACCTGCGCGGGGAGACCCCAATGGATTTCAAGTCCATCGCCTTAACCACTCGGCCACGACTGCTCGCTTATGACACCAATTTCAATTTTGCCGAGCGCGGCACATACGGAAGACAACCTTGATAACTTTGATTACTTTTCAGCAGCTGCGCTATAATTTAATGACTGTTCATAAAATATAATTTAGTTTTATCTATAACAGTAAGTTTTAGCAAAGTGTTGAGAACAAAATATTATAGATCCTGTATCATCTAGTACACTTAACATCACCTTTCTTAAAAGCAATGTGTAGAATAAGAAATTTATTGATTTCTGTTTGATTATTTTTCTTCTGAAAAATTTGTGGTATTTAAACTGTATCTAGTTCTCTATTTATTACTTTTGTAGTAGTATTTCAAAAGTGAATTTTTTTTTTCAAATTAAGAAATAACTTATAAAAATATAAATTAAATATAAAGTTATTTATAAGGTAAAAACATTGACTCATTATCTGTCATCAAAACATTATCTGTACTCAATATTTGCATAATTATACTACTTATTTTTTTATAAAAAAAACTAATAAATTAAAAGAATATATTTTATTTTATTTTACAGCCAGTGTTGAACAGCCGACCTGATTCTAAGTTTACAACTATCAATGATCAAACTCCGTAGCGTTGCAATTTTGAACCAAACCTAGAAGACAAGGGAACTCACGGATCAAGCATTGGGGACAAACCATCCTTTGTGGAGGGCTTTTTAATGAATCTTACTCGCATTTGCCTTGCCTTACATGGAAAGGAAAGTAACGAATTCCTCCCATGGTGAGCCCGACAGCAAGGGCATTCTAACTTATTTTCGTCCGTCTACCACTGAGGTTATTTTACGTCCGCACTGTAATCGCTGCAAGCCGGGAGCAGTACGCAGTAAAAAGACACGGGTGCTTCATGCTGTATTTCATGACTATAAATTATTAAAATATTAAATCTAATAATTTTCATTTATTTTGGCCTGAATGAAAAAAGTATGAAAAATGTGTTTAATAGAAAGAGTGCGTCAAATGGATAATTGCACGAACATAAAATAATGTGACGTTTATCGTCACGTTACACAGATTTAAGAGAAAAGGTTAAAATTAACTTTCAAGAATACCTCAAAGACCTCGAATAATTATAAATTATTGTAGGATATATTTTACTTCACAACCAGCCTTGAACAGCCGACCCAATTCCGAGTTTACGGCTACCAATGTTCATCTCCGTATCTTTGTGATTGTGAACCCAGCTCAGAAGATAAGGGAACTCTTGAATCAAGTGTCAAAACAAACTAGACTTAGTGGAGGACTTTTTGATGGAACTAAAACGCATTTGCATTTCATGGAGAGGAAATCTCGCACGGTTAGCCCGACTGCAAGGGAATTCTAACAAATAATCCGACGACCACTGATGATATTTTATACCAACACTGTGGTCGAAGCGAGCCAGAAGCAGAATTCGTATCAACCAGTCATAGCTGGGATTCGAACCTGGCTTCCTCATAGTGAGACGAGAGCGGAGAGGAAGCAATTTCAGTGACTAATAACTGTTTCTCTTAAATACAATGAAGTGTAAATAAAATCATTGTTTGGTTGTGAGCCATATATGGAAAATTTTACCTTTAACGCAGAAAAAAAACACGGGTGTTTCATGCTGTATTTCATCGCCATAAATTATTAATATGCTAATCATAATATTTGTACACTTATTTTTGACGTTATTAATACAATATAATAAAAAAGTTTGAAAATTGTGTTTAATAAAAATTTTGCATCAAAGGGTTAATGAAGTTGGATCAAGTGATACGGTCAAGATCCCCCCCCCCCCCGAAAAGAAAATTTTACTCCTACACTGAGCATCTAATAATTGAGGTAAGAAAACCCCAAGATGGAAAATAACAAGTTATTTGTAAAAGTTACATTAAAAATTAGTTTAATAAATATTATCTATGTTTAAAGGCTATGTTAAACATAATAAATATTATTTATGTTTATAGCTACAAAATCAAAGATTCATAAAAATAAAAAAAAAATAACGCAGCCGGCAGGATTCGAACCTGCGCGGGGAGACCCCAATGGATTTCAAGTCCATCGCCTTAACCACTCGGCCACGGCTGCTCGTCTATCATAAAGATTTCAATTTTGCGGAGGTACCTCACATACGGAACACAACGTGAAATGTTTATTTTTTCAGCAGCTGCCCGATAATTTATTAATGACTATTTATAGAATAAAATTAAGTTTTTAGTTTTATCTATAACAGCACGCTTCAGCGAAGTGTTGAGAAGCGAAGTGTCTAAATATTATAGATCCTGTATCATCATGTACACTTAACATTATCTTTATCAAAAGTACCGCGTACAAAGTCTAGGTAGAAAATAAGAATAAAAAAATTTTTGATTTCTGTATGATTTTTTTTTTCTTCTAAAAAATTTATGGCATTTAAACTATATCTAGCTCTCTATTTAGTATTTTTCTAGTAATACTTTAGAATCGATTTTTTTTTTCAAATTAAGAAATAACTTATAAAAATATAAATTAAATAAAGTTACTTATAAGGTTAAAACTTTGAGTTATTTATCTGTACACAATATTTGGATAATTATACTATTTATTTTTTTTATATAAAAAAAACTAAAACAATAGAAGAATATATTTTATTTTATTTTATAACCGGTGTTGAACAGCCAACCCGATTCTAAGTTTATGACTATCAATGTTCAAACTACATAGCTTTGCAATTTTGAACCCAAGGAACTCCTCCTTTTGAAGAAGGGAACTCCTGGATCAAACATTGGGACAAACCAGCCTTTGTGGAGGGCTTTTTTGAAATTAACTCGCATTACGACACATAAGGAAGAAAGCCACGAATACCTCATATGGTGAGCTCGACAGCAAGGGCATTCTAACCCTGCTCCGTCTACCACTGAGGTTATTTTAAGTCAGCAGTGTGCCGGCCAGGTGGCCGAGCGGTTAGCGTGCCTTGACTGCGAAGCCATAGGCTGCGGGCTCGAATCCCGCTCTGGGCATGGATGTTTCTCTCTCTCTTTATGCTGTCCTCTGTTGTGTGTATGTATGATGTGTGAATGTGGCCCACCCTATAAACGGGTTTGTGGCAGTGTGGCGTGGGCAATGTTGCTCGCCTCCGTGACTTTGGTTCACAGGTGCCCACTGGGTAACGCGAAATGAGCAACAATTCTGGCATAGTATAGGCAAAGATTCAAATTCAGTGCCTGCCATTGGAAAGAAGAAGTCAGCACTGTAGTCGCTGCAAGCCGGGAGCAGTACCTTTAACTCAGTAAAAGACACCGGTGTTTCATGCTGTATTTCCTAACCAAAAATTATTAAAATATTAAATCTAACAATTTTCATTTCTTTTAAACGGAATAAATATAAAATATTGAAGAAAGTAAGAAAAATATGTTTAATAGAAATTGTGCGTCAAAAGGACATAAAATAATCTGACGCAATTTGTATGGACATAAAGTAATTCAATTTGAATGGACATAGATTGCATAGGCATTAAATAATGGGACGTTTATCGTCACGTTAAGCAGATTTACGTAAAAAGCCTAAAATTAAATTTCAAGAATACCCCAAAGATCTCGAATCTCTTTGTCATTTTGAAACCAGCTCAGAAGACAAGGAATCTCTTGAATCAAGCGTCAGGACAAACTAGCTTTCATGGAGGACTTTTTGATGGAGCTAACTCGCATTTGCTTTTCATTGGTTTAAAATCTCTCATGGATAGCCTGGCGGCAAGGGGATTCTAATTTGTGATCCGTCTACCACTGAGGATATTTCACATCAGCACTGTTGTCGGTGCGTGCCGGGTGATGAATTCGAATCGATAAGCCATCGATGGGATTCGAACCCGGTTCACCTCATTGGGAGGCGAAAGCTCTATCCTCTGAACCAACACGGTTCTCAATTTCAGCATTCTTCATTTTTTAACCATTTTATTACCACCGTTGAACAGCCGAGCCAAATTTGAGTTTACGACTGCCAATCTTCGACTCCGTAACCTTGTCATTTTGAAACCAACTCAGAACACAAGGGAACTCCTGAACCAAATGTCAAGACAAACTAGCCTTCACGGAGGACTTTTTGATGGAACTAACCCGCATTTGCGCTACCAAGCAAACCTCCCACTGTTAGCATGACGGCAAGGGTATTGCAATCCATAATCCGACTACCACTGAGGATATTTTATGTCAGCTCTGTGGGCGACAGGAAGCGGAATTCATGTCAACTAGTCACAGGTGGGATTCGAGCCTGGGTTTGGAGTTGAGAGGAAGTAATTTCAATGACTAATAACTGTTTCGCTTGGATATAATGAAGCGCAAATTTGAAAAATCATTAAATTTGAAAATCATTAACCTTTAACGCAGAAAGATCATAACAATAAATTATAAAAAAGATAAATATAATATTTTTCGCTCATTTTGTCTTAAATTAATGGGTTAAATAAGGAAAAAAGGAATATTTATCTCTTAAACATTCTCTCTCACTCTTTGCTTGAAATTCATTTTTTCCATGTGCAAGATATATTTCAATGGAAAAGAGTGCAAAATTTTATAAATTAATAATTTTTTAGACTTTTTATTATTTAGCATACTAATATACAAATATTCAAAAAAATTTTCATTTGCATTCATAAAGTTTCTTAATACGTTTGACATCACTATCGCTAAGTCCTTTTTTATCATAGACATCGACCAATTTTCGTCCCTTTTCATTGGCTGTCATTGTCTTCGTCCAACCATCTTTGGAGAATGTCCTCTCTCCATACAGCATTATGGAATCGTAATCGAACGAATCCAATAATCGGTTTTCTGCAGGCATAAGCTTGTAGAATTGATCTTTAGCGGCTGCAAGAAATTTTATATACTCCACGTTATTCATGATAATATTAATAAAGTAAATAATAAGAAGAAGAACTATTGAAGCATTCCTGCTGCAGCCCGTTGTGGGCCAGGATTGTCATGGGGATTAAGGCTCTCCAATTTCATAACCAACGGCACAATCGTGGCAATGTGGTCAGCGTTGCGTACAAGTCGCATTTTTCCTAAACAAGGAGATACCCATCGATATGAAGCTGCGTGGCCTTCAAGCCACCACTGGGAATCAAACCCCAATTCTTTACCACAAGGGCTAAGTACTTTAACTACTGGATCATCCATAATAATCATAAAATATAATGTTATAATATATTTCTTAAATTTAAAAATTACATTAAAATAATACATGAAAATATAATATTAATTAGTAATATATAATACATAAATTACAATTGTGAGAGCTGCAGATGTCAACCGATATATTAAATTTAAAAAAAGAAAAGTTAAAAAAAAAAAAAAAAAAAAAAAAATTAAAAAAAAAAAAAAAAAAAAAAACCTTATCTTATGCTCTTTTGATACAATTTTTTTCTGCATTTAAAGAAAAATTAAGTTTCACAACGTTAGAAAACTTGTTCAAATTAGTTCAAGTGACAAAGAGGGGCAGTTTTAAATATACTTGGAGTACATAGTCGCAATTACATAATATAATGCATAAACCATTTTTATAAATATTACATTTATTACAGTAAAATTTGGATGACGACCATTTTTGACACTGTAAAAGGGAAACTCGAACTGTTCAAAAGCCAAGATATTTGTTATAAAGTATGATTTAGCTTATTTAAAAATTGTTAGTGTCTTTTAATTTAGCTTTAAAAAAATCCCAATTTCTAAACTGTTTATATTTCCATAAATTAAAGATGTTCTTAGTACAATTCTTTCTTCTACAACTAAAAAGGAACACACAAATATTGAATGTAACAAAAAAGGGTTTTATGATTATTCATAATAGGGAGATTTCGCACTTTTACGTTAGCTTCCGTAAGCTCCCGTATGCAAGATTTGTATCAACTGCGCATGCTCGCGTTTATTTTAGATGCTACGTAACTTTACGTCACGTTGACGTGATTAACAATACAAAAACGAAAGCAAACTGTTTATAGTTATTTTCTGCTTAAGCCTACCTTCGAACTTAAAAATGGACACGGAATGCGAATTTGATGAAATATATTGATGAAATGAATGGTGCAATATTACAACAGTCTATGAACGGGTTTGTGGCAGTGTGGCGTGGGCAATGTTGATCGCCTCCGTGACTTTGGTTCTCAGGTGCCCACTGGGTAACGTAAAATGAGTAACAATTCCGGCATCTTCTAAGGCGAAGAATAAAGTTCAGTGCCTGCCATTTGAAAAAAAAATTATTACAACAATTGGCTGAACGAAGAGATCGTCTACGTCCATTGTAAATGTTTATTTTGATTTTGTAGTCAAATTAAAAACGATACTCCACCACGTTTTTTTACTTACGGATTTTTCCGAGGACTCTAATTTTCACTTACGTTCGATATTTTCTCACGGGTGCATACGCCATTACTTAAAATCTTACGTACGGAAACTAACGTAAATTTGCAAAATCTTCCTATTATTAAGTTTTCTGAACTTACTGTTCATTATGGCACTCCAGTGAATAGTTATGTAATCATCCCTGTCAGATCGTGTGTGCTCGTGGAAGAACCCTATGGCATGACCTAGTTCATGTACTAGAGTGGGATGTTGAAAGCAGTTCTTCCCAAAAGATAATGCCTGAACGCCTCCTGTCTTGCCAACTTTTGAGTAGCACCTACAGGTTGATAAACATGATATGCATTTTAAGGTAACGCCAAAGTCACCATTTTGAAAAATTTTAAAATCCTTTTAAATAAGACAAAAAATTGGCAGACTTTCAGATAAAAAAAAAATTCTTTCTTTTCCCGAATGATAAAAGTTTATTAGTAAAAAAAAAAACGCAGCCGGTAGCCCATTTGTTTAGCTTTTCTTGCTACGTTAACAATTCAATTAAATTTAAAAACCGCAAAATTCCACTATAAAACGGTAGCACGTATTGCCCATGTTTTGCAAGGCGTGACTTATTTCATATATAAGTTTCACGTGTTTCTACTCAAATTAAAGTAGTTTGATGCAAAATGCAACAACCTGTTGCTAATATCTTCTTAAAAGGTTCGATTTGTCGTTGAAACGACGATAACGAAATAAATAAACTTATCTACTTAAGCGGAATTAACAATATCAACTTATTTCGAGAAAAAATATTAAATTGTTCTATCAGTTTAAATAAGATAGTACCCATAAAATGATCTATATGAAAAATATCTTAGGAGCAGGAAAATCTTTAACTAATGACCATTTTAAGGTCAAAAAGTTTTCAAAGTGTGTTTTTTTTATATATATATACATATGCAGTGCCTGACAAAGGCAGGGACAAACGGGGAAATTGCCCCGGGCCCCCACATCAAAGGGGACCCCCAAATCGAATAGAAAGTTTTTTTTACGTTTCCTTCTTTGATACAATTTTTTTAAACAAAATATCAATACAGTGTAGAATCCATCAGTTTTATGTTAGCTTCTTCATTAATCTATCGAATGAACACACAAAATCTATATTTCGTAAATCCATGGCTTTCTAGGGCGGAATTCAGCTAGAGTTTTGCAATCACGTTGGACAAATTTTGCCAATCTAAATCCTGTATTTTTACATATCTCAAAACGCGATATGTTTACAAAAATGCAGGGTTCTGGCTGGCTTAATTGAGCCATCGTAATTGTAAAAATTAAGCAGAATTCCGTCCCTATGTCAGCAAGGATATGAATTTTTCACAGCTAAATGATAAAGTTAACAATCAGAAAACAGCACTCGGCATGATGGACAGAAAATTAATGAATTCTCAGAAAATTAATAAAAAGGACAGAACAATATTTCGTCTGACCATTGGAGTTGGGAAGCCCGATTAGGCTAAGTAGGGCCCTGTTTTATTTTATTAGGAGTCAAAGTTTATTGCAATGATATGAAATTTGATTTATTTTTAATTACCCTCGTCCGGCAAATATGAGCACATAATCTTGCTCGTCTTCTTCTTTCTCAACAAAACGGATGCAAGTCTTTTCTTCGAACTCCGCAAAAGCTTTCTTGATCATAGCTGTTTCTTTTGAATCTGCAATATTTAATCGTATAAAAATTATAAATGTGGAATAAAGTCAACAACTGGAATAAATAGTATAATATTTATACATGCATCAAAACATGATTTTATTGGTGGCTCTGTGAGGCAACTGATGAGTGATGGAGAGACTGTCTATGACTTGCTGATGCGACATGATCTTCTGGACCTGGTCTAGGGCTCTAGACCAAGGGGATGAGCAACAACAACAACAACAAACATGATTTTATACGACACATTTTACACAATAATAAGAATAAAAATACTAAACTGCAAAATACAACGGGGCACAAAAAAATTTTTTTAAAGAATCGTTTCTCCAAAATGGTAAGTTGATGTTGTTGATAGTGTGGTAATAAAATTATCCGGCAGAAACTTAGGCTTTATTTAACCCACTTGCGGTTTTGTATAAGGAAAGTCGTTTTTTTCAGTTTCCACTTTTTTTCTGCATTCTGGGGACCTCCCAAGCCGAGTCTCGCAGGTTTACTAAACACTTTGCAAGATGGAGGTAGCTGGTTCGAATCCAGCTGCAACCCTGGTTGTGTCTTTGCAATATCCTTCCTTAATTTATGCTGTTTGTTCTCCTTCAACTTGACAAGGGCTTATAAGCCGTCTTTGAAATGTGCACACAAGTATGTGCAACAATAATTAAATTCAGAACTCTAGTGGTGACCCTTACGAAAATTTAAGGTATATTTAATATTGATTTGAGGTATTTTTGATGTATCGAGGTTGTTTTGAGGTATATTTAAGTACAAAATGTCATCTCGTTTTCTACCTGCAAATAATCATGTGCAATGGAAAAAGCCTCTGTTTTTTCAACGCCTAAACACCCACTTATTAAGAATTAAATAGGCGATAGGAGATCTAGATTTAGGTAGGAGAAAAATTATCCTACTTACCACAGTTTTCTGCTTGGAGGGCGGGAGCATAAACCTGAACCATAGTAGTGTCAAAAAATTAAATAAGAAGAAGAAAACTGTGAAAAGCAGTAAAAATTAAAATGTCAAAATCTCAATTGGTTGAAATGTTCCTAAACATAAGTTTACTGAAAATTCTAAACACTCAACTAAGTTTAAATTATTTCAATGTAAATTTGCAATTCTTATGAGGGCCCGTCAATGGACGTAATGAAAATGTCCCTGTTTCCGAGCGTTAATGAGAATACGTCTGATGCTCCAGCGTAACTATAGTAATGAATAAAAATGTTTAAATGAATATTTTCAAGCAGAACGAGCGAATCGCCTTGACCTGGCCGCCAGATGGAAAGAGAAAGAGAGTTAAGCCAAGATCAAAAAGGCGAAATATGATGAACAATGCGTGAAACCAACTTAATTGGAACTCGAGAGGAGAGGATGGAGGGCAGAGATTGCAACCTCATGTGCCTTGCAGGCATAACTACAAGGCAAAACATAAAAATGGATTAAAATAACAAACTAGAGCATCTTAACCTAAATATTTCTTAATAATTATTGATGCTTAAATAAGCCAATTTGTCATTCAAAGCTGTTTTAAGTATGGGTGTCAATTAAGTTCTCCAGAAAAGTTGGTCTCTTAAAAGTAGTGACTACATTTCGGAAGTATTTTGTTGTTAAAGAAAAAAGTAAAGACTTCTGACAACGGTACATAGTGGGCCACGGTTTGTCATGGAAGTAATTTCTTCCAATTTCGTGACCAACGGCATGATTGCGGCAATGTGGTCAACACTGCACTTGGGTCATCTTTATTTCCCAAAAAGCTTCAGTTTGTAGTCACTAAATTTTTTAAAAAAAAGTTGTAGTCTTAGTTAACTACATTGGTAATAAAGTTGCTGCAGTTGTGGTTTCCTGCAATGTTTTTCTTTCCTGATTATTGGGCACACGCATTAAGCCCAATTTCATCTTATGATTTCCAGACACGTATTTTACGAGTTTCCGGAATTACGACTGCAATTCCGGAATTCTGAACAATTGGAAAATTAGGTTCATTATTATATTGATCCAAAGACTTCATATGTCTTGTTAGCATAACAGTAAAACAGTCTATTGCCAAACATTATCGTACAATATTCCTTGATCTGCAATATAAACCAGTTTGGAAAAAATAACTCGCAATGATCGGAGAAATGATCTTTCTGTTATTGCTTGCATGTAATGAATTGACTTTTTGAAAATTTTATTACACAAAATGGAGCATAAACAAATTAATTTATGCTGGAAAATCAAAAACCATTATTGAATATTACCGTAAGTTGTATAAGGATCCATCAAATATGGGACTCGTCCTCCAGGCCAGCGTTGAGAATCTTTAGGTATAGCATTTCGATCCTACAAGAAATACCAGATGCAAATTTTTAATAACTATATCAAACCTATGGTAAGTATTGTAGGAGAAAGAAAATAAAACATGCAGAGTTAACTCTTAAAAAATAGTTAGCTGTCTAATTTATTCTTTAAAATAGAACCCCCTGATTTGTTTATCATATCGAATTTATATTTATATATATTCAGATAGATTTTTATATTTATCTATGTTCAGATTCACGTATTTATTAACATTTAACTTTTTGGCACAGATTGTTTATAAACGTACTTTTTCATTTTTTTGTAATAATTACTGTCAAAATAAGTAAAAATGTTGTACTATTTAGCTTTTTAAAGTTATTTTTTCTGCGTTAAAAGTAAAATCTTCCCAACACGCAGCTCTAAACAATATTTTTTTGTTTTAAATTTGCACTCATTTAGATCTAAAAGAAAAAGTCATTCATCATTGAAATTTTTTTAATTTACAAAATCGATTGTTGATAAATTTTTAAATATGGATGGAAAAAAATTCTAACTACTTTTTTTGAATTTTAAATTTAGTGCAAGTATAATTCCGATAATCTAACAGAATTCCTTTAGTAACTCTATGACTGTTTTTTTTTTTAAGTTGAAAAATATCCAAAATATATTTTTGCTTGTAATTAGAGCGCCAGAAAAAAATATATATAAAATGAACCCCGGTGTTCCATCTGCATCAAAAGGATGAAGGCAATGTAGTGATACACCACATTTTTTCCAGAGTTGACAATTTTGCATCTAACTTATACTTAGTACTATTTTCAGGTAGGCAGTTCATATGTTTGCGGAATTTCCACTACATAACTGCTCAATACTCCAAATCAATTTGAATACATGTAAGTTGTTAAAAAGAATACCCTTCTGAATAATTTAAATGTGTGCCTTATTATATACATTTAGCATTTCTGGGAAAAAGTCCATCGATTAAACAAAGTCTAGATTCGTCTATATTTTCATTCGTGGTTATGATCATTTTAAATCAATGGATTTACAACAGAGTAAAAAGTAAATTAGAGAGTATTATCTATTCTTACCGTGTGAGGATCTATTCCCAAAATATCGCCTTCAAATAGATCCACATTTTCCAACACTCTTTCTTCAGTATAACCTATAATTGGAACTACTTAAGTAAAAGAATACAAAATATTTAATTCAATAATAACAGAATCAGTTTGACCAGTTTACTGTGAGTTTTGTATTTTCATTTTTGTATTATATTCTCAAGATTTTGTTTGATATTTCTATTCTGATTTGATTTTATGTATTTCTAGTATTTTTTCTAGACTTTAGAAAAAACTTCGGGGTACTGAGAGAGCAAATTTTGACATTCGTCTGGCTCTCTCAATAGAAAAGGTTTTGTTTTATGGCTTCCGGAGCTGGTACCCCCTGAAGACGTCGGCTTCGGTGGCCATATTTTTATTTCCATTTTTTTTTCCTCATTGCTTCAAAAATGGAACTGTTTCAATTCAAATGGATTTTGCTCAAATTTCGTGTTTCAGTATTTAAAATTACATTCTTCAAAATTATGTAAAAAAATTGTAGACCTTATAATTTAAAACGTTTTCGGCTATTAATAAATAAAATACTAAAAATTAATAAATATTTACTAAAAGTATTTTTTTTTTTTTTTTTTTTTTTTTTTTTTTTTTTTTTTTTTGGATTTTGGATGAAATTGTCTTTTGATAGACAAATTTTATAATTGTGTGCAAAAACTTTTCAAGATATGGCGAAATACGCAAAAAGTAAAATTAACATTCAGCGGTCCTTACTACAGAGTGCTCGACAGACTAAACTATCAGAACCAAGTTTATTAGAATGTAGTTACCTTCTATATTTTAGAGATCAGAAATTCGAATCTGTCGAAAAAAGGTATAATGTTCATTCATAAGAAGCACGTTTTTGTGTCTTATTTCGTAACTTAAAATATTCGTCCACACTAATTAATTAGCATATTTGAGATCATCCCCTCGAACTATTCAGAATGAGTCCTAGAACGTGAAGGTACGTGAAGGTGAATCATTAAATCAAAAATTACTCAAGGTGGAACATTTTTTTTTACTTATTTTTCTCATTTGCTTATTTTTTGTACATGCATAAATATTTAAAAGAAACATTTAAAAATATAATTATAGTTTGATGAAATTTTCCATACGTTTTAATAATTATAATTTGTTTAATATGTAATGAATAAAATAATAAGAAATTAAGACACATATTTAAAAAATAGCCGAATTGAAATTAAAGATGAAAAAAAAAATAATTCAAATGTTCTATAACGTCTTTTTCGAAAAGTTTTGTTTACTTTTCTGAATCTTGGCGTTTCCCTCACTTCTTTGAATTGTGTATTTTTCGAAATAAGTAAATTTTTATCTAAAATGTTTGAAGAGAAAATTATAAGGACGGACCACTCCTTTCAAAAGATTTGATTTATTTTTATTTATTTCAGTAGTTTTATTTTTATTTATCGCCAAAAGCGATTTCAGAAGTTTTATTTCGGAGCTACATGCGAACCGTCTGTCATCATGGAAGTTACACTATCTTCTGCCGGGGAGCTGACGCGCATGCGCGCCGACAAAGTTATCATAAAAATGCAAAATAAACGAAACTAACGTTTAGAAAAACTGTCTGTTAATGGCGATAATTAACTAAAATAATTGGGTGGAAAAAATTTCTGCAAATTTACGTTAAAAAAAATAATTTTAATACGAAATAGACTGCCTAATTAAAAAAAGGTCACCCTAATTTGATTTATGCATTCAAATCTATGTTTGATTAACTCTAAATTTCATATACTTTCTACAACTCTTGCCAATTATACATTAATAAAAATAATTTGAAATTTGGTAAAAACTGTAAACTAAACTTAGTAACTTACCACCGTGCGTGAAGCATAAAAGAGCAAACAGGAAAACTATCATTTTCACAGGATGGCACCAACGTATGCTGGTTCAAAATATTTCGAGTGAAAATCTTGCATACACAACAGGTGCAAATTTTCCACGAAAATGATAACTAGTATGATGCAATTATTTAATAAAAAATTAATCAGAATTATCTTAGATATATCATTCCGAAATAAAATTAATTATTGTATTTTTCCATCTATGTGGACCGGCTAACTTTAGATGGCAAATGAAACCCAAATGGTGTTCCGAGGAACCCTGGTGTTCCGCGGAACCCTAGAGTTCCGTGAAAAGATCACAGGGCTTTCCAGAGTTAGGGCATATTTGATCAATGAGAATTTTAGAAACCTGACATTAATTTTTATATTTAATTAATTATATACTTTTTATATTTAATTAATTATATATTTTAATTTAACTTTTTCGTTATTTTTATGCAATTATTCAATTAAAACGTTTGTAAGACGGAAAAGTAAAATTTAAAAAAAATATTTTCTAATAACAAAATCTTAAAGAATGATGAAAAGTATATGCATTTATGAAAAATTGCATCAGTATTTCGCATCAAATAAAAATAACGATGAAGAAGTATGTTTAACCATTCTTCGCATTTATTTTCGCCATTTTTTAGTTTTATTTCAAAGAAAACCTAATTTCAGCTCATTCATTTTCAGTTTAGGCACACACTAAAATCAAATTATGAACTAGGCAAGATGGTGCTCCCGACTTGTTTATTCAATTTAATAATAAAAAACCCAATTTTAAGACTAGCATTGATAAAACGATATGATGAAACAATTTCATACATTCATTAAATAATTTTAAAAAATTGTTAATAAAATTGCAATCAATAAAATAATTTTTAAAATTTCAATCATTCATTATTTAATTGCTCTAATTAATTGTTATAATTGCTCATTTCATATTTAATTGTCTAAATAATGTAATTAATTGTTCTTTTTTCTTCATTAATATACTCACAATTACTAATGAAATTAATTAATTAAATAATTTATTAAGGCTCGGGGATCCACAAAAAAAAGATTGATCATTTAGGGTTTCATAGTCCACTAAAATGGAAATTGCTGATTTAATCCATAATTATTATATACTAGCCGCCTAAGGCGGCCAGCTGTCCGCCACGCTGAAGGTTTTCACAAATAAAGTTTTTTAAAACATGGCAGGAAATCTGAAGATTAGTGGACAATTAAAGTGTTCCTGTCCAGCAATTTTGTCTTCATATCCAGTTCTGCTGCAGATGTGTTATAGCTCTTGAGGATGTTTGAAATTATATAGCTACAACGCTTAAGAAAAAAAAAACTAAAATGCTAAATACATGAAAAGAACACGAAAACGAATAAATTTTTTATGGTATCAATTTCTATTTCTATATAATTTTTTATGGTATCAAATTCTATTTCTATATCTGTTACGTCAAGCACTCAGGTATTATAATTTGATCTAGTTGTGCTTGTATAATTTTGATCTAGTTGCGCTTTCTACGTCATTTTGTTAACATCGTTTGGTTTGTTATTTAACATCGTTTGGTTTGTTATTTCTAAGTTAACTTTCAAAAAATTGGCTGGCATCAGCATTTTTATTCTTTAAGTTGTTTATTTTTTCTTTTGGAATTCGTTCCTTTTTAGCGAAATGTTTTTCAACCTAATCGAATTCTTTGCCGACTGTTCTCTGTATATATAAAGAAAATAAAGTAAATATTTTTAAAGTGTTGTGAAAAGAATTTTTAGTTGTACAAAGTACTACAATATCGCTATAAAAATTATCGTCTTCGCTTAAGAAAAAAAAAAAAGAGCGTGGAAAGAAGAAGAAAAACTTATTATAACAATTATGAACAGCGACAAATATATCAAAGCGAAGCGTTCTATTTACGTATCGAATATGTTGCCACATTTTTAATACAAAAGTTAAACTTTTCTCCACTTTAATAAATGTAAACTAATGCGAACTTTACAATTAAATTATTAATTCCTTCGTATATTATTGGTTTAAGTTGTCGAAAATTAATATTTCAATTGTAAGGTTCGCATTAGCATACATTTATAAGAGTGGGGAAAAGTATATGCATTTTTTAATAGTTTTTTGAATATGGCTCTTTGAAGACGAAAAAGCAGACGAAAAGCATAGACTTACAAAATGACTGATAACTAAATAACTAATCAAAATTTTTGAAAAAGAAAAAAAATACTTCTTCATTATGTCAAAACACAATTATGGGCCGAGTTTCGTGCCCGGGCGAGGCTTCTGGGGCGATATATTGTGATTACAGACACACACACACACACACACACACAGCCGCTTTTATTATTATGTATAGATATGCAAAGCCTCTCTATATCGAAATCTATTGGTACCAGTTGAAAAGGAAAAGATCACTAAAGAGAAATTTTTTTATGAAAGAGTTACATATTTTTTGTCCGCATGCTAAATTAAAAGGTATACAATTAGATATTTTAATTTAGTCAAAAAGAAGAAGATCACAATTACCCACATATGTAACCAATGACGTCAGTTCCAGTTTATCGTTTATAAGCAAAATGTCATGTTAAGTTGAGCTAAGTTTTTTCACTTAAGTTAGAATGTTAATTAAAGTGATCTTACTAAAATCAGAGCCTTATGGCAAATCGAATTTGTTGAAATATAATTCTTTCTCGTCTGCGTCTTTTAATTAACTTAGATTTATTATTTGTTTATGTATTTTGTTGTAACCGTTTTATATTTTTGTTTTGCGCATCTGGCAACTTCGATGCATAATTAGTTCGTTTACGTTATACACGGCTTCATGCCCGTCCTTGTTTTAAGAAAGAAATATATAGTCAAAGAATTGAAATCTTTATGAAAGAATCTTTGTGTAAGAATATAGAATGTGTATCTTAAGAGAATTGGTATTTGATGGGCTTGTCTTACTCGAAATAGAATGGAAAGAACAGTTACAAACGTAATCAAATTGCACGTTTCAACAACCAATCTGGATCGGTATACCCACACTACGCCACTTACGGGTATTTTAAGTTATTTTTCCCAACATTACATGTATATAATTCAAAAATCTATGAACGGATGATTTATAATTTAGAAAATCTGATTTAAAGTTATTTTTCCCAACATTGCATGTATATAATTCAAAAATCATATAAAACGCTATGAACAGATGATTTATAATTTAGGAAATCTGATTTAAAGTTATTTTTCCCAACATTACATGTATATAATTCAGAAATCATATAAAACGCTATGAACGGATGATTTATAATTTAAGAAATCTGATGTAAAGTTATTTTTCCCAACATTACATGTAAATAATTCAAAAATCATATAAAACTTTACTTTTTTTCTGCATTCTGGGGACCTCCCTATCCGAGTCTGACATGTTTACTAAACACTCTGCAAGATGGAGGTAACTGGTTCGAATCCCACTGCAACCCTGGTTGTATCTTTGCAATATCCTTCTTTAATTTATGCTGTTTGTTCTCCTTCAACTTGACAAGGGCTTATAAGCCGTCTTTGAAATGTGCACACAAGTATGTGCAACAATAATTAAATTTAGAACTCTAGTGTTGACCCTTACGAAAATTTAAGGTATATTTAAGATTGATTTGAGGTATTTTTTAAGGTATCGAGGTTGTTTTGAAATATATTTAAGGTTGCTGAGCAAACAGCAATAAAAATTATACCTCGTAAAGGTTGTAATTAAGGTGTACGAGGTTGTTTTATATACACTTCAGCTTGTTTTGAGGTTGTTTAAAATTCACTTCAAATCAAACAGACTGATAAGGTGATTTTTAAGGTATACTAGGTTGATTTTTTTCACTTGTAACAAAAGAGGTATTTTTCAGGTATAAAAATTTTTATCTTATTTCAACTAAAGAGAGTGAGGTATTTATTGAGGTATATGAAGTCATTTTATTTATACCTAAGCTTATTTTGAGGTTGTTTTAAATCCACTTCAAATCAACCAGACTGATAAGGTGATTTTTAAGGTAGACGAAGTTGTTTTTCTTACACTTGTAACAAAAGAGGTATCAACAAAAGAGGATAAAAAAATCAACCTTATTTCAACTATTGAGAGTGAGGTATTTACGAGGCATAAAAAATATACCTTTTTTCTACTACAGAGAGTGAGGTATTTACAAGGTATAAAAAAATATACCTTATTTCAACTGAAGAGAGAGAGAGAGAGAGGTATTTATTGAGGTGTATGAAGTCATTTTATTTATACCTAAGCTCGTTTTAAGGTTGTTTAAAGTACACTTCATATTAAGTTGCTCACTTCCCAGAGTTCCGTGCGAGCAGGTAAATGGCGTGTGTGTTGACAATCGAAAGTCTATTCGAAAATCGGTAAGTGTGCTTGACATTTATTAATTTAGTTTTATCACTTTTAATCAAATATGCTTCAATTTTCTAATTTAAATTTTATTATTTTTGCTTTAAAGACGCCTCCTGATCTTAAATAATTTAAGTTGGAAGATATTCTTAGAGGCTATTGGTGTAGGTAGAGGCTATTGGTGGTTGGTAAATGCCAATTTTAATAAAATTGTCAACAATATCAATTTTAAAATCTAAATATTCAACGTTAAAACAATTCTCATTAGTTTTCTTCAAAATCAAATCTTTAGGATAAATACTATAAATAAAATTATTATTATCACAATTAAAAAACAAAATTAAATCATCAATATATCTAAAAGCATTAAATTCATTATGCTCAAGAAATTTAGCTTCAAAAAAATGCAGAAAAATATCAGCAAAATCACCAGAAAAGGAATTACCTTGTGGAATTCCAATAATTTGTTTATAAAAATCTAAACCATAAAAAGAACATTCTCAAAAAGATTAAACCTACATAAATCCAGCCAATTAGACTTATCAATTCCTTTTCTAATGCTTTTGCTGATATTTTTCTGCATTTTTTTGAAGCTAAATTTCTTGAGCATAATGAATTTAATGCTTTTAGATATATTGATGATTTGATTTTGTTTAATTGTGATAATTATAATTTTATTTATAGTATTTATCCCAAAGATTTGATTTTGCAGAAAACTAATGAGAATTGTTTTAATGTTGAATATTTAGATTTTAAAATTGATATTGTTGACAATTTTATTAAAATTGGTGTTTTTGATAAAAGAAAAGCTTTTAAATTTAAAGTTATTTTTTTCTGCAACTTTAATACTAATTTGTGTAAAAAAATTTTTTAAAAATTTGGTTTTTTCGCAATTGGTTAGGATTAAAAATATTTGCAATAATGTTGAAAGTTTTCGGGAAGCTGTGAATAATTTTTTAAATAATTTGAGTAATAATGATTTTCCTTTTAATTTTTGTAAAGTTATTTTTTAATAAGGAAAATGATTGAAGAATTCTAGTTTTTTATATTTTCTTCTTTTAACAGGGCGCAATTCAAGTCTTAACTGAGCAGCCCCAGTTGAGCATTCTATTAATTTGTTACGTATCTATTTCTTGAATTCTTTTTTCTCAATCTGTGCAATGTAATAGATGGCGTTGTTTTCTTTAGTTTTAGTGTTTCCTTTTCATTCAGTGTGCTTATTAAATCGATGTTTGACCTGGTTAAAGTAAGTTTCGAGTTTTTATTTTCTGATGAATTTGTTTGAGTTTCTTTTCTAAATTGGTTCTTTGTATTTCATGTTTTTTCCTGGACTTCTATACAAAACCTTCGGGGTACTGAGGGTGTTACTTTAGGCATTTGCCTCCCCCTTCAATAGAAAAGGTTTTGTTTTACGGCTTCTGGGGNCCCCCCCCCCCCCGAAGACGTCGGCTTCGGTGGTCATATTTTTACTTCCTTCGTTTCCTTTATTACTACATTTATCCTTTTTGTGAAACAATTGTTCGTATTTAACCAAATGTTTGTAACAACTAACTATTGGTTTTATTCCGCTCGGTATTAAAAGTTAAAAAGTAGATATTACTCAACTTATTTTAAAAGTATTATTTCAAATAATGGGATACTCTCAACTCGAGAAGAAGAACACCACTGAAATCAGCTGTTTGGGTATGAACAAGATGGCGGCGTAATGTTAAGTCAATGGGACTTAGAATAATTTCTCCCGACTTTTAATTAAATATTTAACAATGCCTCATAATTGTTGTGCTTATGGGTGTACCAACAATTCAGCAAAGCCTGAATGTATTGAAAAGGGAATATCTTTCCATAGATTTCATTTGGAAGACAAAGTTATAATGCGAGCGTGGCTTGTTGCTTTGAAGCGACAACATTTTGAACCAACTGTTCATAGTAAATTGTGTTCAGAGCATTTTACGCCTGATTGTTTTGATTATCAAAATTTGTGGAACTCTCCTCAAACTAAAAGAGAGAAGATAAAGAAAGATGCTGTGCCGTCCCTTTTTAAATTTAAACCCAATAAGCGAACTAGAGCGCCGACATCATACACTTTTGGTGCATCAGTTAGCAGGTAAGTGAAACTTTTATGGGCATGTACTCTCCATTGTTGTGAACCTTAAAAACTTGTCCAGTTAAATAATAGTCTACAATATGTATAACAGCTACTGTTTTTACACTTTCGAACAACATGGAAAGAGTAATGTGTATATATGTTTACAGTAATAATTCAAGGTGGATAGGACCGAATTTCCTCGATCGATCAAAACGTCGAGTTATCTAAACCCTAAAATTTCAAAATAAAGCATTTTAATTTTATCTTAATGTGTTTCATGAAAAGTGTACACCTACCTATATTGAATAAATTAAAGATGACTGGTTGAACAACAATAGAAATCAGAGGCAGAATTACTTTAAATTGTTTTGGTAATTATTTGAGAGGTAACTGATTTTTCTCACTAGCTTTAATTCATGGGAAACTGAAACAATCAAAACTCAAATTATTGCGATACTACTGTATAGATATGTAAACATTACACACCTAAACATTAACGTTGGTTATAATGTATATATATTTCATTTTAGTACGCAAGATGATTTGGATACAGAAGCAGAGCCAACCTCCTTGTCCAAGTCAACACAAACTGATATAGGGTTTTGTACTCTCATCGATGAGCTTGATCTCAAAATTAAAGAGTTAGAGATGCTGAAAAAAAATTCAAAATGCCTATTTCAATCCTAAAGAGATGACCAATGATGAACTGAACACCTTTACTGGATTTGACAGCGAGACTTTTTTCAAAATTTTTTAACTTCTTAAATTTCAAAGAACGAAGAAGTCCTCTTCAAGAATTCACGCCTTTGCAAGAATTTTTTGTCTTTATGATCAAATTGAGAACGGGTGTGACATTAGATTTTCTTGCATATGTTTTTAAGGTAACATTTGGTGAAGGACAAAAATAAAATGTTCCTTTGTTTTTTAATAACTAAAATGATGTTGGTTATAATAACTGCTAATAACATAAATTATATTACAAAATTTATGTACTTATTTATTTCAACGCGTAATACAAACAATTTTGTGATATAATATATATTGTTAGTATAAACATATTGATGCTTGTTTAATATTTTTGATACATTTATTAATTTATTTTATTTTCAAATTGTTAAAGACACTATTAATTTTAAGCGGGTCGCATTCATTTCATCGACAATCACTTCATCGACACACCATTTCATCGACACCACTTCATCGACAGGCCGTTTCATCGACTAGGTCATTTCGTCGACAGGCCGTTTCCTCGACAGGGTTGTTTCGTCGACAGGCCATTTCGTCGACAGGGTCATTTCGTCGACAAGTCATTTCGTCGACAGGGTCATTTCGTCGACA